CCCCCCCCCACCCGCAGTCATGCTGGCCCGACCGAGATTAGATCCGTGCACAGCTGATCTCCATGTTTGGGCAGTGTGGGACATCATGGCCTTTCGCCATGGTGCATATTGCACCTCTGTGCAGCTTCAGCGGCCGGGCGATGGTGTGCCCTCCTATGGCCTCTGCTGCCGAGGATAGCGATGGGGAGTTCGACGCGATGGAACCGAAGCGGACCCTCCTAACTCTGAGCAGGCGGGACAAAATCAAAGTGATCGAATTTACTGACCCCAACCTGCTGACGTGTTGTCGACTTTCGCAGCTGACAGACAAGCAGCTCAGCATGATGTGTTTCATCCTAACCCCGAACCTGTGTTCGAAAACCGTGGCCGACCTGGGAGTGGGGACCATGGCAGGCTTCAAACGAATGGTGTCTGCATCGTCTACAGACAATGGCCTCATGGAACACCTCTTAAAGGACGACGCGCACAACTTCGATAACCTCGAGGCCCTCGCTATTTCGAATGGCTGGCGGGACGACATGACTGATCCTACGGTCAATTGCGAGCTTAAGAGACTGCCGCGTACGCGCCCTCCCTCTGCTAGGGACGCCCCACCTAGGCCCGCTGCAAGTGTAGAGCCTGCTGGGGCCATTTCTTCTGTAGAACCAAGAGTTTATTCTGCGCAGCGCTCTGCGATCGACGATGCGGCGCCAGTCAGATTGGTGCGCCGCAGGCTTAGGGTGAAAACTAATTCCGCACCGATGTAGACTGCGCTGTCAGGGGCGGGGGTGGCATACAGTCGCCTTCTCACTGGGCTGTTATGATCAGGGGCAGGTGTAGGAGGAGGGGGAGGAGGAGGAGGAGGAGGAGGAGGAGGAGGGAAGGAGGCCGAGGAGGAGTAGGGGGAGAGGAAAGGCATTGCTATCGGTGAAAGGGTGGTGTATGCCTCCCGCTACTTGATGTGCTGGGGTTTGGGCCGCCCTCAGCAATGGGCGACTAGAGCTTACGCTTGCATGCATGTTTGCCACCGATCGGACATGGTGCGCCAACAAAAAAAACACGCAATCGGGGGGTGTCGATCCATTGTATTAATTTATGCTACCACGGAAATCTTGAGAAATCGCAGGATTTACCCAGATTTACCAAGATTTACCACGATTTACCAAGCTTTACCACGATTTACCAGCTCCGTGCGCATATCCATCGGGTCAATTCGGGCACTCGAGCAGACCCCATCAGGCCCTTGACAGCGTCGGGCCCCATCTGATCTGACCCATTCCAGTGCCGTTGTGGGCGCCATCGGAGTTGCCTGACGTTAGCGCTGGCCCTTCCAAAGCGTGCTTCAGGGCGCGCAGGGGCCAATCCAAAACTTCGGCCCCAACGTTCTGGTTTGGCCTGGGCGCGCAGGGGCCAATCCAGAACTTCGGCCCCGACGTTCTGGTTTGGCCTGGGGGTCGCCCGCCCGTCCGCCGTCGCTAGGCGCAGCAGGCGGTAGTCTATGCCGAAGGCCCCCCCCCCCCCCCGTCAGCAGTAGCGCGAGCGGTCATAGATCGCAGATGTGCATCAGCACGTTCCCCTCCAACTCCCATCCTCTGCGCGATCCCACTCCTCTTTACCCTCCTTCCGTTCGCCCTATAGTCTTCGCTCCGTTCCCAAAACAGGCAAGGCGGCAACATTTTTTTACGCGGAAGCGAAGCCAGCGCCCGCGCAGGGAAGGCGCGAATGCTCGCGGAAACTGGGGCGGCACCCTTCCTTGTCCTCCTTATCATGTGTCGCTTCTTCCTTCTTCTCCTTCTACTCCGACATGCGGGCTTCTCCATCCTGGCCCCTTCGCCTCCTCATCCCCTTCCTCCTTCCCCGCTGCTGCTGTTCCTCCTCGTCCTTCTCGCACTTGTCATTCGTCCTGGTCTCTTCTCCTCTTCCTCCTGAGGGTGGATAAGCTAGGCGCGCCGTGACAAGACTTATCCCCCCCCCCCCCTCCCTCGCACGATTCGCGCCCCCATAGGGAGCTCCACCGAAGGCCAGAGCGCTGCCGTCCGCATGCGTCCCCCACACCAAAGTCGGCACACCCCTCACACGCTTCGTGC